TAGGAAGATCCAAGAATTGCCAAGACAACTCTGCAAATGACCACAAGGCCTTACAGCCTCCCAGTGGCTGGTGATTTTGATGATACAGAAGTGTGTTGTGGTTATTACGTTGGGAACATGCAGAGAGATGCAAGATGGTGTTTCAGCTCTCCTGCTGACTGGGAAAGAGGCTTTTTTACACTGAGAGCTAGGAAAATATTTTACAAAATGCCTGTCATGCTCCTAACGGAAGCCTTAGACTCATCAGCCCCATGAAGACTTCGCTCTCATTCCTAAGGATGCATGGGACTGCAAAAGGTAAGGGACAACAGCTTTGGCATAGGGCAGTTTTCACTTGCCTTTTCCATTCCATGTGCTTCTCCATTAGCTGGACAGTAGATTAGGTGATAATTTCAGGATTTTTGTGAAAACTGTTTGGGAACCAAAAGCCGCTTTGTCCAACTCAATTTGGCTTAGTCTGCGATCACTGCAGACTGTTACTGAATACTGCTGCCTACAACTGGACCTTCTGTTGCCACACTGTGCTATGAGTCCTCCGCCTGCCCTCTCGTCTGCACAAGAAGCAAATAGGTATCCTTTCCCTGACTCATAAAAATGAAAAGAATCTCCTTGCTATTTTGGCATGGGTGTTTAGCAGTTATGGAGATGATGAGGCTTCTGCCCAAGACAGTTACTTTTCCCAGTGAAAAGGACATCTTTCTTTTGTGTAGACCTGAGGGAAGTCCTCAAACATGTACACTACCTCATATTTACAACAGTGATGCTTGCTACCATTGTTCCTTCCTTCCAGGATGATTTTAAAGTTTCAGTTTGTAGAGTCCTTGCTGCCCACTGGATGTGCCTTAGATTTACAGCTAAATTAATGGCAGTTGAAGGGGTTGGAGTCTATGACACTGAATATTCATAAATCTCCTGTGAATAGTAATGTCTGTTTTCCTGAAAGATAACATCTTCATGGGCAGCTGTCATGATCAGAGAAAGATTTCAGCAAGGCAGGTCTGCAGAGGATGAGTTTTCATTGGGTTGATCTGATGGACTAGCGAAAGCCATCACTTCTGCTACAGCAAGAGGTAGCGTTAAGGAGTGTAAGGAATCAGGGCATAACTCAGTAGTTAGGGCCAGGACTCTCTAGGCCAGGAGTTAAACCAAAAGCATCAAGTTAAAGTAGAGTTAAACACTGTGCTGGGAGGCAAAACTGGAACCATAGGATTAAATCAGCAGACTTAAGTTAGTCAGCCCCAAGGCTGGCATGAGGAACTTCAGGCATAATGTTTGAAACATCAGGCAGGAAACAACTGCTCAAGCTGCCCTCCAGTCTCCTGGAAAACCACCTTCATTTCCAGGAGAAAAGAAGTGACATGTGCCAGATGTATGCGAGACTCTGCATTAGTAAATTAACAGGGCTATAACACTCAGGCTTGTGCTGCCTCCTTTAATTGCCTGACATGCATATAGAATGCCAAATGATGTTCTCTGAAGGAAACTGAATGCAGATTATGCTTTGCACTATTGGTTAGCTGGTACCTATCATGCTGAACATCAGGAACTCAGTCCACAAGAGGTGAAGGGGCTGCTACTTGTGTAGTTAAGGTGCATGCCAGCGAAAGTCTGCAAAGCTATGACAGTAGAGTAAGCTGTTGACCTTTTTCTAGCATCATGTCTTGGACTTGTCATTCTTCTTTCTGAGACCTCATTACAATAGCTTTTGAATTGGAAATAATTGTAAAGGAGGACCATGGCTGCTTTTATCTTTTATGCCCTTACAAAGGGACAAACCATCCTATTAAAAAAATAAAAAAATAAAAAAAAAAATCCACCACGACCACGCTGCATTATGTAGTGTAGCAATGGTTCAAACAACCATAGTTACTATAGAGTAATTCCCCCACACAACACAATATGATGCACGTATGCACGCATATACACACATGCATACACTTGGGACTGAGTGGTTGAGGGTAGAGTTAGACTATATAGCTGTGGTGTAAAGTACAATGTGGCCCTCCGCATGAGTGATTTGACTGGGATCTCTTCCCCACAGTTCAAGTGTATCCAGTATCCATTGAGTGATGATTTGTTCCTGGCTGTCTTATGAGCACAGGAACAAAATAAACCAGGAAACAGTCAGTGTAACTCTTCATTAGTTGTCCTTGTGTCCCACTTCACCCCCCTCTCCCCAAGACTAAAGCAAAAAGGCCCTGGTTTTATTGCAGCATTTGTTAGGTTCTATCCATTGCTAGAGGAGGAATGAAGGCAAATGCAAACTTCTGACAAATTCTTCGAACATCTTATCTATTCCCCTACCTCTACCAACTAGCCAGCTGTTGGCTGCTGAGCTACAGAATTTGCTCTATTGGGTAAAGCATTGGTTTGATTTCAACCCCCATCTGGTTGTCACCCCCGGCTTTCCCCTTGTTTGTAGTGCAGGTAATAGGCTCACTACGTGGTAAATCTCTTGCCCTCAGTCCTTGTTCATTTTCTCTGATGGCTTGGCCTCCTGGCTTTGTCATCCTACCCACTGGAGCAGGGATAGCCAACTTCCTTGTGATCCTCTTGGCTTCACATCCTCCTCCCCAGTTGCGCATACCATGATGAGCCCCAGGTGAAAGCAGCTAAAAGCCTGTAGCTCCATTCTGTGAGAAGGCTGCTGCAGTTTTCTGGGGGTATGCATTAGTTCAGATAACACTCCCCCACCCCCAGCCCTTTATTCTTTCTTGAATGGGGAAAAGACAGTAGAGGCAATATATTGTCCACTGGTTTTTCTATTGCACATGAGCAGCCATAGTGTTCTTGTTCAGACTTACCATCTGGCTGCTTCCGTCTCTTCTTTCAGGGTGGTTCCCACCAGAAATTTTTTTTATAGTAGTGTAATCTGGAATCAATGATGGCTAGGCTTGTATGGACCCTTGTGAGGGATCTTAAACAGGTCATTTACCGCTGTGACACACTTGGTTTACTTTTCTTTTGTTCATCTGTACAGTGACGAAAGAGCTAATGATTAAATTGAGTTTGTTGTGGAGGTATCGACTTGCATCTTGCCACTGGAACACCCTTCGCTAGGACTATAGAAATCGGCTATAGATTTTCTGCGAGGCTGCCTGTAAATCCCGCAGTGCAACAAGCACGGCGTACGGTTGGAAGTTTTTTTGGCGGCCAGTAGCCTGGTATGCTTTCATACCATCTCCCCTCCTTCCCTGGGGAAACGTGGCAAATGATGTTTTCAGGCCCAGGTTCCAGTGCCGACGGTCTTTCTTTGGTTATAGCAATAGTGACGGACAGCTTTTTAAACAGTTGCTAATCAGAGGGTTGAGACAGAGCACCGGATTTGCTTTACTCGGTTTGGAAAGTCTTTTTCAGATGTTTCTGCTGCTCTCAATAAGGACCGTATTTGCTGATTCAGGGTTGCTGAGAGCAGGCTGGGTTCACCAGCATGTTCCAGCTGCTTTGCAGTGCTCTGCCAATGCAAACCAGCTGCAGGTCTGGCTTAACTGAAGCCAGGTTTGTGGCTGGTTTGCATCACTGGAGCAGTGTAAAGTACCTGAAGCATGCCAGCTAATCTGGCCTATCGGTGAACCATTATAAATGACTTGTTTTTCTTCATGTTCTTGACATGTAACTTCATTTATAGTTAAAGCCCATAGAAGTTGAGTAGATTGTATCACTAACAGACAGGTTTTGTGTTCTAAAGCCTATAAAACTAGAGGGTCTTTTTAAGCCAGAGTTTTTCTTAACTGAAATAAAATTATCAAATTATACATTGCTCCTCTGCACTTGTCTGTTATGGATTTCTTTTAAGTTACACTAAGATTACAATTGCCTGTTCTTGTTATAAGATGAAATAATGATTAGTCTGAGATCTAAAAGAGCAGGCTTTATAAGTTTTATTTTGCAAAACGTGGGCTCAGCTTTTAGTCTAAACGCAGTAATTTTCTTCTAGTTTACTGAGAATGTATGCAATATTTGTGTCATTGTCAATATTGTCTGCAATTTATGGATTGAAAATATTTTGGAGATTTTGAAAGAGGAAGGAAATCAGCCAACCATGATTTTTCTTCTGTTTATGGTAAAATATGTAACTGAAATCATGTGCCTACCTTGATTAGCATGATGAGTGTTCCAAACATGCCACAAACGTTAATCAGTAATTATATTATTCCTTCCATAATAATAGTTTTTTTCATAACCCAGCTCTTCTTCTGAGACTCTACCAGTGTTGAATGTGTAATACGTGTGTTTAAACAGACAGCATTTTACCATGGAAGAATAACGGAAGTGTCATTACAGCTGCTCTGTGTGTATCTACACTTTTTTCTGAACTCAGGGTTTTTGCTCTTCACATAGAAATGCTCTTGTATAAAATTTTTTTTGTCGTTTTTTTTGTCTGTTTGTTTGTTTGTTTTTGTTTTGTTTTTTAAATTTCTTTCTGGATAACCATATTGGCATTCAAGTCAGAAATTGTATTCCTCTGATCAGCTGTATATTGGAAGAAAACATGACAGAATTTGCAAAGTTTTCCTGGACTTTGAGGCACAACAATGAAGAATTAATTACTGCCTCATATTAATTAAGATAACAATGCAGAACCCTTCATTAGACGCATAGGAAAAGTTCTTCCTTGGTCCTTGGAGAGAATATTATATGCAAGCCCTGTTGTGTGGGTTGCGAGGTGTCACTGGAATTTATATGCATTACTTGTCTAATTGCAGTAAATGTAGCATGTCCAGATAGGTTTAAAAGTTGGATGGCTGTTTGTTACTTGCTGGAAATCACTTGAAACCTTGCTACTCGGAGGCAGCTGTTCACAGGTCCTTCACCTCTCCCCAGAGATAGCTGGAAGACTCTGTTGTTGGACCCTGTCTTTTATGGCAGAAGCAGTAAACATGACAGGTTGTTTGGGAGCCATCTGTTTTAAAATGGTTGCTGCTTTGTATGCAGTAATGAACTTGAGATCAGTTTTCTGTCTGTCTTCATAGTAACAGCCTTGTTTGGTGTCACAACAGGTGGAAGTTGATGGGAAGAAACTAAATGTGACCAGCGAGTGGAACCTGGCTTCACCCTTATTGTCCGTCACCATTGATGGCACTCAGAGGACTATACAGGTAAACTCACCCATGCTGGCTTTGTAGAGCTGAGCTAATCAGAAGCCTTTGGGTACACAAATAATACTGATACGTGAGGTCTAAACTTGCTGCATCATACAAATTATGTTACGTTGTGCAAGTAACAGAGTCTTTGTACTTTGAATACATCCAGAGCTTCAGTGGAGTGAACTTGTCTCAGACTTGCTCATCTGAAGGTTTGAATATCATTCATTTAAAGAGAAGTTGTTGCTTATTTTAGTTGGAAATTTACCCCAGTTTCTCTAGGATCTCTTTACTTAATGGCTAGGAGGAGATACTGTTTCGTAATCACTTAGGAGAAAGAACAGATTACTGTTTACAAAAAGGTGGGGTCCTGCAATAAAATTATTTTCTTTCTCATGTTTGGATTGAGGGGTTTTTCCACTTTTGGGCCTTTGCAGATTGAAAATCACAGGACAGTGCATATCCCATGTGACCTGTTTTCATGTATGCTTTTATGAAACATGATAACTTCCATGACTTGAGAAGAAAAACATAAAAGACCTCCCATACCTATGTGTTTACAAGAAGAGGTCTAAAAAGATTAATGCACGTTGTTGTTTCTGACCAAAAATGTGTTTGAAAACAACTCCAAACAAAAGGGTGCGCCTTTAACTGCCATGCAAATTTTCTGAAGGCAATGCCAGCCAGGATTTATATGTTTGTTGAGAAATCATTAAGTTAGAAATATCTATTGATCCTGGAAATAGTGAAAAGAAACAAAAAAATAAAAACTTTTTGAGTTTTTAAAAGTATTTATGTACATACAACGTTATCTGTTTATTTTGTATACATTGATCAGTGGTACAGTGGTCAGATTTCTGATACTTTAAAGCAAAATATGTGAAATTATTTTTTTATTTTTCACCCATGCTAAATTACCCAAATGGAAATGTTATTTTTGCTGCAACTGGATTTAAAAGACAGCAACCTGAAGATAAGAAACATCATATATTTCAAAGATAGTATTGACTGAGAGTGAAATTTTCAGAACATGCCCAAGCAGATTCTGGACTTAAGTTTTGTAGATTTCTTGGAAGGTTAATGCCAACTTCAGGGCTTGTGTATATCTAAAATAATTTTGTATTCTAAAGTGTATTTTTATATTTGAACTGGTCCATTTTACTGATGTTTTATAAAGGTAATTCCTAATCTTGAGTAGGAAACAATACCAATGTATGAATATATAACATCTGTCTAGGAGGAAAGCATTGTATTCAGAAGGTCTCATTGCAAAGTATGTAGTAACTACATGGCTGGATACAGGTCTCCATATACTAATAGTAGTAAGACTGGTTAACTAGAAGCATAATATTTGAACTGGCGCAGAAAATTAGTTTCAAAATTAATGATCGTGAGATCTGAACATGCTTTCTTCTAGAAGCTGAGCCAGCAATAGCGTTACTTGCACTCCCTGCCTACGACCAAACTGTATGAAATACTGCAGGGGTAGCCTCCGCAGCAAGCAATGAGCTGGCTGCATGGTATCTATTCAGTAGAATGTGGAATAAGCACATACGTTGTTTCTTTCTCAGATGTTATCTGTAAGTCTTTGCTTTTAGCAAAGAAACCCAGTAGCTTGAAAAGTTATTAATCTTTTAGTGTATGTATGTAAATTTATGGGAACCTTAAACTTGACCTCTGATATCCGCTCACTGGAATCTAAATTGGTTTTTTGGTTATATATTTCTCTAGACTTGCCCCGCTGCAAGAACCAAATTAGACAAGTGTATTCCTGTAGGTCAATTTGTCTCCAAAAGCAATTGACCCCTGAGTCTTGAAGTATCTTCTTTCAGCAAGACTTAGCCCTAGAGCCATTTAAGCAACAAATATGGATGAATCGAATAATTCCAGCTGTGCTTTATTAATTTTCAGCCAATCTAATTTCTCTTCATAGTTGGTTTCATTCTTCTAAATTTGCTCAACCAAATACAGTCTTTGTGAACATTATATTTCTTTGAAGGTTTGATTTATGCACCTTGAGCTCGATCCTGCGGTCTGGCCCCCATCCAGCAAAGCACTTAAGCATAGAAGCAGAAAATAAATAATTTTAAAATGTTTTGGTTTAAAATGTATTTATGTAAATTATAGTCTAGACATTCAAATCATTGCATATCTGTCGCACATTTAAAAATAAGTAATTAAGCATGCTCCTGTATTTCCACTCCTCTGCTAAAGGCTCAATGTGTATCGGAGCAAAGCAGAGCACCAACTCTGCCACTGAGTTAAGAAGACTTATGAGTTCAAACCCCAGGTTTTCTAAGACTATTTCTAGAGTACAGGACCTGGGAGTATATCTGAGCACCTGAGAAGAGGCATGCCCTGGTCGCAGTCTGTCTAGGGCATATCAGGGCACAACTAGGATGTGTGGCAGCCCCCTCCCTCCCGCTTTTGTTTCCTTTGCGAGGAAGCCCATCTGTGTGCGGCAGATGGGCGCCGCGGAGTGCCTGGCCAGGTCCCCAGATGATAGAGGGACCGAAACCCTGGGGTACCCTGCAGGTCTGTTTGGCTGCAGCATGAGGGCTCTGAAATCTTTGTGCTGCTTCGGGTTACTGTTGAAATCTGTAGGATGCTACAGAAGGTGATGAACTGATGAAAACTTGGGATGGTTTAAGAGATTTCTATGATAGAGTCTCTGGGGATGAGGGTGTGGGCAGACCCCGTAGCATTTCCTGAAGTCTGCAGATTCCATCATGGGTTTTTTTTTGTTGTTGTTGTTTTCAGTAATTCCCCAGCTAATCCCAGTTTCTCAGCATTTTCTCCACTTACGACTAGACTCTACCTCTCGTTTGGAGTGGCTGATTTTAATGCATTATGAAGTGTAGGATTTTGTTTGCCAAGTGAATGAAATTTTTGTGTGCAGAAATACTTTGCCAAAACGGTTTCCCCTACCCATTTCCAGAGATGTTAGTGGCTCAGAAGGTGACTTCCACCTAGCTGTTGTGGTTTTGGAATCTGCCTTTGCTGAAAATCAGAGGAGTAACTATAGGCATGTGGTTACAATGTGTCTTCCTGAGGATTCAGTTTTGAAGGGATTGGCTGTTACTTAATTGAAAATACATATTTTAAATACATTTATATATAAACCACAATTTGAATATGGTCTAGCCTTTCAGGCAATGTTTAGAGTATAAATAAACAGATAAATAAGGTGCTTAATGATTGCTGTGAAGAGTGAGTGGAAAAGAGGAGGTTGGTTGAGTTGTGGAAAAGAACCATAAGAACTCCAGTGGAAACTGGAAGGGAGAATGGTGGTTCAGAATGGTATCCTGGAAAGTAACGACAGTTGGAAGAAAGGCAGCAGGCATATTTTGGGACAATGAGAGCATTTTTATCCCTCTACCTCTGCTCCCATGTACAGGTAGGCTGGATTTCAATGAGCCCTGTGCCTGCAGAAGTTGTCGTCTATGGTACCTTCTCTCTCCCCGTGCGTATGAATTAGGGAGAGTGTGGAAGGAGAGAAGGGAATAAGCTGCCTTTTCCAGAGAGCTAAACATCTCCTTTTATTCCCTCATGTGAACCAGAATCTAAGGGGACCTCAGGATAAATCAATGAAGCCATGAAGTCCAGCAGGTGGGCTTGAACCTAACTGCAAGTCTGTCCTTGCTACAGTCAGGTTGGAGGTAGGTGCCTTCTACTGGGACACTGCGCAGGAAGGTCAGGTATCTGCAGAGAGGGCAGGTTGCCCAAGAAAAAAATGCATGTAGGAGATCCTCAAACCCTCTATGCTTTGGCACTACTTGTGTTTGGGCAAGTTCTCAAAAACCACCCCAATGACCATTCAAATTCTAAGATGCTTTAAGGCAACACCACATGGACAAATTTTACAACTCCTCCTTAGTGCTGTTAAATGCTCTGCTTCTATTGATCCCATCATCAAGCCCTCAACATATCCCATTTACTTGCAGACAGTTCCCTATAGCAGGAGGATTCTGAGCCAGAATAAATTATTCGTCACCATCTTTTGCCAACGCGTGTACCTCTTTGTCATATTGTATGCACACAGCCTTTCCACTGGCATATTGTCGGCCCACACTGGTTTCACAGCTCTGCTAGCTTGCTGTAATGAAACCTCCCACCATCTAAAGGTAGTGCAGGCGTTCTGCCTGGAGCCTGGAAAACTCTTACTGGCTTTTCACAGCTTCAGCAAAGCGATTTTACAACGGCACTAGTGATGCCCCCCCTCTTTATATTTCCTGGCTTTCAGAGGATTGGTCTCTGCTGAACTGAAGCTTTGTAGGGCGTAGGCAGAACTCAACTGGACAAGGTCCTGAGTAGCTCAGTATTACTTTGACGTTAGCCTTGCTTTGAACAGGGGAATACAACTGCCTGATTTCCAGAGGTCCCTTCCAGCCTAACTGTTCTGTGACTCCGCTGGGCATCCCAAACTCTACGGTAGAAAGGTCTTTTATCAGTCACAGCAAGGTGTAGTTAAGAGAGTAATGGAGTTACTAAACAAGAACATGAGCCTGTAAAGCTGAAATCATCAGTCTCAAGCTTCAAGTGCTTTTGTGAATTAAATAGATGAAGATTTATCAGTGGCGTTTTCTCTACTTACAGTGTTATAGGGAATTCAGTGATGATATCTCTTATTATTTTTTCATTTAATTTATTTATTGCATCAACAATTGCAGCAGGAGGAGTATATTCTACATCCTGGGATATGACAAATTTAAGTGCTTCTCGGCTACAATGTTTCTTTTGATTATTATTTTGGTTTATAAGAATAGAAAAACCGAAAATGCTGTAGGTTATGAAGCCTTTGTTCCTGGGAAATGTCTGACATTCTGGGAAATGTCTGACAGGAGAACAAAGCCTGTGCCCAACTGTTCATTTCCTTCAAACCCGTGGAGACTTTTTTCAAACGTGTAATTTTTTTTGGAAAAAATTACATATATATATATATATATATATATATGGGTTTTTTTCTCCTTCTTTCTTTGGATTTTAATTTCCGGTTTGATCTGTTCAAAGGCAATCCATCAGATGCTTACTTTCATGGTTTT